GAATGTGCAAGAAGGCAAATTGCATTGGATCTTGAAGTACAAGTTCTCTACATCAAATCTTCTGCAAACAAAGGAAGATTCATCATCTAGGGAGCATTCTGGAAGAGTTTCAAGGCTTGAATCAAAGATTTTCACCACCTACCATTTCAAGAAGCAAGGTATGAAAAACCATTTCTACACCCTATTCTAGGCATGACTAGGGTTAATTATTAGTGTAAAACTGCTAGAGACAATTAGGTGGTCATTTTTGATGAGTTTAAGACCAATTGGAGAAGTTTCATTAATGGACACGAATTCTTGATGGAGTGAGAACATGCTATATAGTGAGTGTTAATGCTAGCTTAATGGCTGATTTTGATGAGTGTGGCATGAGGTTCATTCTGATGTAAAGAAAGATGAGTTTGGTTGAGTTCGAGTATTGATCATATTTTGAAATCCATGATGTTTCACGTTCGGGTTGGGTGCTAGAGGCCATGTTAATGGAAACCAATGCCATAGTTTTGTTCATTGTGAAATTCTGATCGAGATAGGGTTTTATTTCGTGAAATTTGATGCGGAAACGAGGGAGAACGATGAGGTGTAATTCTGTGCATGGAAGATGTGTTTTAATGGTTTCTGAAAACCCTATCATTCCAAGGTAGAAGATAACTCACCAACCGTTGATCGCGCGTATGACTATTTGACTTGAAGCAAGATTCTACGGCTGAGATTTAAAAGCGAAACGAGAGGGAAAGCCAGCGAATGAAACGCGGCGTTTCATTAAAGCCCTCATCCTGGGCTTAAGTGGAATGTCTATCCACACCCCCCGTATGGGCCCAATTCCAATTTGCACTATATTTTCTTGCTCTTCACACCGCTAGTTTTTTTTTTCTTTTCATTTTAATTGATTTTTCTGAATACATTGGGCCCAGGCGCTTTGTTATTGCCACCCCCCATGTTGGGCCCAAGTTTGATTTGCATTGAATATTATTGCTATCTGCACCCATCTCATCATTTTCATATTATTTTTACTCCAAATTTTTCCAAACTTTGAAAAATGCATAATAAATAGAAAAACTAATATTTTTTCATGGGAATTTTTTCTCCACTTTCCATTTTCTGTCTAGAAAAATATAAAATAAAAATATTTCTTATATCATGCATTTCAATATTTTTTGCATATTTTCTAGTTTAATTGCTTTTTAATTCTTTTATATTGATACCTTAATTTGTAGAATTTAGTTTAGGTAGCTCCCTTTAGATTTTTAATTCAATCTTTTTAGGGTAGTTATAAGTATGTTTTAGGTTCCCCCTGGATTAATGCCATATTTTTGTGATGATTTTTAGGATAGTTTTGATTAGGAAATTCTAGGTAGTGTAGAATTAGGTTAAAACTTCAACATAGGTCCATAATAACTTTAGATTTTGGGTTTTTAGGACAAATTAGACTATGGGGCATATATGGGTATTAAGGGTAGGTATGTAGGATCCCTTAGAAATTATATTAGGATTTAATATAATAGTATGCTATTTTTAGTTGATTTTTGTATTGATTGATTGTTTGTGGTGCCTTTAGGGCATGTTTGCTTTAGTTTGCTTTGCTTTGTGGTTTGTTGCTTGGCTTGAGAGCTTGATTTTGGTCTAAGGAGCATTGTGGAGCATAGTAGGAGATTTGAAGATGCATTGAGGAGCTTGAGAGCTTTGTCTTCTTTCTTTTTGTTTTGTTTTTAGGGTTAGGGATTAGGAAGAGTTTAGATGTAGATAATTTCTTTCTCAAACATGGATGGTATCATTCACCTCCATTCCTCCCTATGATTCAAAGTCCTTACATGGTATTCACCTCTCTCCTTTGGAGGGATAAGTGATGTACCTAGGAGGTAGAACTTTTGAGGGAACCCTTCATTTGATGTTGAACCCTTATAGGTCACCTTTGGTGGTCAAATAAGCAGTTCAATATCCCCCAGCTTATCCAGTAAGTGATTTTTCTCTGGTTTGATTGTCTTGAGAGAGGTTGAGCCTGAGCATGAAGATGAAGACTTCATTGAAGAGTATAGAAGAGGATGAATCCTTGAGCACTGCCATTCCAGCTGAAGCTTGAAGAGCATGAAGATCAAGTTGATACTTGAAGATCCCTGAAGATTAGGTGAAGCCTGAAGGTGGAACTGATCAAGGAGCTGAAGCTTAAGGGAGAAGATGGGTTGAAACTCATGTTGTAGGGTTGAAACCTGGAAAAGCAATTGGCATCTGTCAAGTGATTGAAGTCTGAAGACTGAGTTGCTGTTGGAGAAGCTGAGGCTTGGAGTTGAGAGAGGAGTTGATCTGTTTTCTTCTTTTCTTTTCTGTATTGTGTGTTTCGCTTGACTTGTCTGATGCATTAGAATAAGTTCATATCTAGAATAGGTAGAATCTAGGAGCATGATTGCACTAGAGGTTGAGTTGCTCCCTCTGCTTGTATTGTTACTGTGTGGCTTTGCTTGCGGGTATTCGGTAGAGCTCAGCTCCCTTGCCCATGTGTTTTGTTTTCCTGATGGCATTTCATTTCATTTTCTTCTGTATGATTGCAGTTTACTGTTTATTGCTTGATAGCATGTTGTTTATATTTCAGTATGATTACTGTCATTTCATTCTGGCTTGAGGTTGAGATGAGCTTGTGGAGGCTGAAGCCCCACACACATTTCCTCCCTCACTTGCATTGCATGCATTTTACTGTTAAGCTGATGCTTTGTCTGTTTTGGTGTATCATTGACATGATCCCTTAGGACTCTCATTTCCTTTGATAAGGATTTGAAGATAGACTTTTAGGTTGAAACCTATGCATGACAACTTCTAGGAGTTCCCTGTTCAAATCTCAACCATAGGATGAATACATGGCATGATAACAGTAGGACTTGATAGTCTCCCTCCTAGTTGGGCATGTTCTCTTCTCATCTCAAAACAGTTTAAAATACAGTAATCATGAATGATTTCTTTCGTACGTTACGAGCCTTAAGCTACCTGAGAAAGGATTGTGGGGGAGTTTCTTTTCCACAGTCTGGATGTTTAGTATGGTACCCTTTGGGTGACATGCGACGCATTCACTCTCAGGTCATAGTCTCTAGTGCGGTTGAAATCGCAAACACAATAAAAAACACTTCTTTCGTAAAAGACAGGAAATAAACCGTAGTTTCCCGAACTACGTGAGCTCTGATCTCTCATACCTGTTGAGAGTACGTAGGCACAAGATGGCGATGTCTTGGCGAACTACCTTCCCCCATAACCCTTCGTAGGCCGAACTACGTTGACTCTGATTTCTCATTCTCTGATGAGAATACGTAGGCATAAAGTGCGACGCTTTACCGAGTCATTTTTCTTTTCTTTTTCAGCCAGCCTTGATAGGTAGATAGAATAAAACCAACCCGTCCAAGTAAACACAACAAGCGAGGATCCCGTCGAGTACGACGGACGTGAGGGGTGCTAATACCTTCCCTTTGCGTTACCGACTCCCGAACCCAGACAATGGTTGCGACGACCTTGTCTTACCCTTTTTCGTCAGGTTTTTCCGATCGTTTCCTTTCTCGCTCTGGGGGATAAATAACGAAAGGTGGCGACTCTTCTGTTGTGCCGACACCTTATTTTCGCGCAAGCGACACTAATTCCTCGAAGAGGCTGGCCTAAATGATGTCGCATGAACTTCCCTCGTCAATCATAACTATTAATACTAAATGATTCACTACTTTGACCATTATCACTAATTGAAGCATTTTGTTAAAGACACGATTCACCTTTTCTTTTTCACGGAACCCTAGGATTGATCTTTCATTTTTCGATTCTTCCTTTCCATCATGAGGCAGTTCTCTTTGCAGATCTCTTAACTGAATCCTTCGGGCAAGATAGTCCTCAAATAATCGTGGAACGATAGGATATGACAATGTAACAAAATTTGAAAACATCATGGTGACTCCAATTGCAAGATTAACGTTATGATGCAAGGCCATCCGAATTAATGTGGATCCATTATCTGTCAAATAAAATATTGGCAATATGGATGATTGATATAATGGTTGTGACGACCCAACGAGTATGATCTAAAGAATTCAATGTAGAAACTTGTGAGAATCAAAAGATGATTCTTATAGACGACACATCTATTTCGGAGCAGAACATAAGATTGATAACATGTTAACGCAAAACTCCCGATATGTGATGCTGATCTCCGATACAATTGAGGGGAGGCATGCTTGTAAAGGTAACAACGCTTAAGTCAATGAAGTTAGAGAGATAAAACTTTGCAAAAATGAATAAAAATATATCTGTTACGATGCGTAAATGAGTTGATATATAACACTATTTTCAATTGACGTGACAAAGAGATATAAGAGACATTATATTAGATCCGACAATGAGTTGATATATAACACTATTTTCAATTGACGTGACAAAGAGATATAAGAGACATTATATTAGATCCGACAATTACAGATGGTGGGAGCAAATGACTTAGACCTATTATGTAGATTTAGGGTAAAAGTTCACCTATCTAATAATCTTATATTATAGTGTCTTAAATTGAGCTTTTGACACTTGACTACCAAAAGCACATGTTTTTTAAAATTTATTAAATAAGTAATCTATTTTCATTAAACTACAATTAAGAGACCCACGTTCTTACGTGTTCTAGCAAGTCCTAACTTTGTTAACCACCGTTCCAAAAATCTAGAACATTTCCAACCGTACACGTGTCAATAGCAGCAAAACCCACACCACCGTGTTTACCAGCGAAGCTACTCGTTATTTCCCAGTCGCGTAAGGTATGATCTCGCGAAGACGCGAAGTTTCTTCTACAGTAATCACTTATAACAAATTTAACAAAAACTTAACCAATAAGCAATTATTTGTTAATTAATCAGTTAACATCACCAAACTCATAGCAGTTTATTCTATTTATTTATTAACCCCCGCAAACAAATAAAGCGAAAATCTAAACATTTTCTCTCAGTTTCTCAGTCAAGAAACTTCACCGGAAAAAGAAACAGCGCAACAAGATGTGGAATCAACCCTACGGAAAATCCGATTTGGAAAGCGGCGCAAGGCCGCTGTATCCGATGATGCTCGAGAGCCCCGAACTACGGTGGTCTTTCATCCGAAAAGTCTACGTCATCATCGCCATACAATTACTCGCCACCATCGCTGTCGGCGCCGTCGTCGTCTCCGTTCGTCCCATTTCAACGTTCTTCGCCACAACCAACGCTGGTCTCGCTCTTTACATCGTTCTCATCTTTGTCCCTTTGATAAGTGCGTTTTCTTTCCCTGAATTTGGTTTCGATTGTGGAATTTTGTTTGTGTTGAGATTTTAGTTTTAGTCTGACTGTTGTTGATTTTTGCATGTGGATTTCAGCGTTGTGCCCGCTTTACTCGTATTATCAGAAGCATCCGGTTAATTACTTTCTATTGGGGATTTTCACTCTTTCGCTTTCGTTTGTTGTTGGATTGAGTTGTGCTTTCACTAGCGGTAAGATTCTGTTCATTTTGTTTCTGTTTCTTTCATTTGAAATCTGTAATAATTTAAGGTTATGTTGTTTAATTGATTGAACTTGGAATTTTTGGACTGTGTGGTGAACTAAGGAGAAATATTCATTTGGGAATTAGAATTATTCTAACCAGAATTAGGGTTTAGGGATATATTGTAGGTTGTGAGTGTTCAAATTCCAATGCTTGTGTCATGGGTTGAAGTGAGTACTTTCAAAACAAGATTCATTGAAGATTTGAATTTTGTGATCTTGCATTGTTTGAATTGATTCATTGAAGATTTGAATTTTCTGATCTTGCATTGTTTGAATTGATTCTGAGTGCATAGAATTGATTTTGACATGTTTGGTTGCTCTTCAGTAGAATCGATTATGCTTTTCATAATTTATCCTAATTGAAGTTAGGATTTGTAGCTTTTGAGTTTTAATGTGATTTAACCATTGAAACTTCTTGTTCAACTTGCATTTGTAGAAATATATTTGATCATAAATCATTTTACCTTCAACTTCAATTTTACAGAACCAATACATTCAAAATCAATTTTGCAGACAGGAGAAAACTAATTTGTAATTTGGGGTTTATAGTTTCATGCCTTACTATTTTGGCTTGTGCAATTTGGTTTGCTCAAGTTGCATTTTATCATTGTGAATTGCCAATTTTTATGTGGGTTGCCGAGCTTCTCCTAATGAGTGTTGGTATTATATACAGAGAAAGTTATTCTGGAAGCAGCTATATTGACTGCTGTGGTGGTGATAGCTCTGACTCTGTACACATTTTGGGCTGCAAGTAGAGGCTATGATTTCAACTTCCTTGGCCCTTTCTTATTCGGTGCTGTGCTAGTTCTTATGGTCTTTGGGCTGATTCAGGTATTATTATGATTTTCAAAGGGCACTTTCTTGTTACACTGTTTAATGGTTTTGGTTGAATTCTCACTGTGTCTCTGCCTGCAGGTTTTCTTTCCACTGGGTAAGATATCTACTATGATCTATGGTTGCTTGGCAGCAATTATATTCTGTGGCTACATCCTATATGATACAGACAACTTGATCAAGAGATACTCCTATGACGAATTTATTTGGGCTTCTGTCTCCTTGTATTTGGACATCATCAACCTTTTCCTGTCTCTGCTCACTATTTTCAGAGCAGCTGAATAGTTGAGATATCCTTGTTTTCCTTAGTACATACTACTTGTTTACTTTGGGGTGGTGGGTGGTTTTTGAAAATTAATTCTTATCTGCTAATAAATCTTTATGGCCTCCCTGCTGCCCTTGTTCCTTGTACTGGATTATTGTTGGTAAGGCTGTTAATACATACTAGTAGTTGATTAATGATCTTATTTTGAATTGTAAATACTTCTTTTACGCTGTTCTCTTGATTCATGTGTTTTTTATTATGTTACGATATTTAGTTGATGTTGATGTATAGACATTATGGCTGATGGATTTCTCTGAGTGTTGATCCTTCTCTGAAGAAAACTTCAATAGAGGGTTCGGTTCTATGTATAAAATAATATTACTTAGATTTATTGAACAGTCTATATGTACCATAGGAGTGGAAATGGAAACATTTTAGAATTTGAAAACAGACTAACAGTATATTTTTTCTAAACTTATCTAGATTGTATATTTTTATCTCTTAATAATTTAGACAGTCTAGAAAAAATGAATTTACGAATTTTGCACTGTTATATCTCTTATATCTCTTAATAATTTAGATAAGTCTAGATAAGTGTAAAAATATTATTATATAGATTATATTTCTATACTGTTTATAAAGGTCTTTACTCTAAACCGTATATTAACATATTCTGAAACCATTCTTAGTAATTTAGTTTGGGTAATTCTAACTCCGGGACATAGAACTGGTTGATTCAACCAAACTAACCTATAAATTATCTGAATTGATAATCCATTGATATAACTTTAGTAATTTTTTATTTTTTATTTTCTTTTATATCATTTTTAATTTATCTATTTTATAAAATAAAGTGTTTTGTTAAATTTTATATTAACATCAAGTGTTTTGTTGTATTGATAAATTTTATTAAATATTATACAATGAGTTTCATCGAATTTGAGTAATATAAATAAGTAGGATTGTATTGAATCGTGTTATATTTGTTTTAAATCATATATTGTTTTTTCTTTAAACCGACAAAAAGTTATAAAAAGTATTTTTTTATTTAAAACACAACCTTCTAACCTAAATCAACTCAACTCATAAATGAATGAGTCTATTAGAGTTGGTTTTAACTTTGGATCAAACTCTATTAAAATTTGAATGAGTTGGTAACAGAGTAGGTCAAATTTAGTCCCTCACTCTTAATTAAGTCTATTAATTATAACTTGTGTTTTAAAGGCATAAATTAAAAAATAAATATAGGAAATAATTTTTGAAAATCGTATAATAAATTTAATATGTCTTTATTGTTTTTTTCTATACTGTTCTCTATTTGTGGGTTTTTAATATGTTTTAAAGACACAAGTTAACATTATCTTAAAACTAAAACTCACTATTTATTAAAACTAAATTTCACACTATGACAATTTATTCTTTTATTTGCCAAATCATTAAAAATATTATTATTATTTTTTAGAATTAAAAATAAATAAATTGCATATTGTCCGGACTAGCATTAAAAACTTACATTATTTGGTGTCACACTTCTATTATCTATTATTAAAACTAAATCTCACATTATTATATTTGATAATTATTTTTTTATTCGCCACATCAGTGATATTTTTCAAAACATACCTTCTAAGTCTAAGACAACTATTATTTATTTAAGAAAACTGTGTGACATTTTATTAATAAATTTTATTTAATTAAAACACTTCAATTTTTATTTCTTGACTTATCCTCTTCTATTAGTTTAACTAAAAATCATATATACTCATTAATTTATTTCTTTTGCTTCTCCATTTTATATATGATGACATATATTTTTACAAATTATACACATCCACAGTATATCGAAACACATCTTATTATAAGATATATACATGTATAAATTATATATTCACCGCACATCAAAACTCAAATTATTAAAATTTCACTCTATTTTCTATCGCGTACCTTAATTTCTTATAAAAAGTTAAATTAATTAGCTTTTAAATAATTCATTGAGAGTTGATTCAACAATTATTTCATTCTATTTTCTATTGGGTACATTAACTTCTTAAAAAAAAGTTTAATTAATTAATTTTTAAATAACTCAATAAAAATTATGAGAGTTGATTCAACTATTCTTACAAAAATTAAATCATTCAATTTTTAAATAAATCGATAAAAAAATTATGAGAACTAATTTAATTCTTATAAAAATAAAAACTATTTTTTATCTCTTAATAAAAGTATAACATCATCACTACTTAAATCACCTACAAAAAAGAGATAAAGGATTCCGCAACAACAATTATAAAGATGCATTTATTTATTTTTTATACCAATTTTTTTATCTATCTTTTTTATCTCTATCAATATTTCTAAAAATAATAAATTATATAATATTTTTCTCTATAAAAAATTATGCATAAAATAATTTTATAAAAAAAATCATTCGCATGTATCAGTTTAAAATCACAATAACAATGAAAAGAACCACATTACAATGTTTAAAATAAAATAGTTAAACAATACTTTTAAATAGATAAATAATACTTCAATATTCTTTTTAAAATATAACTTTTAATTATAAATGCTGTTATATGTAACAAAATTTAAATTCAAACATTAAATCTCATTCCAATGCTAAAAACATATTAAACAATTTCTTCAAATTTAACTTGTAATTTTTAAATAGACAAAAAAATTTAAAATTATTTCTAATATATTATTTTGAATAATAATTGCAGATATATATTACAAAATTAAACCGTAATTTTTCAACTATAATTTATAATTCATTAAATATAATATTGTCCTATAATATATTGTTAAATTCTAAATAACTAAAATTGAATGGATAATTCAATTTAATTAAATCAATTGTAAAGGTTACAAATTAATGACAAATTAAATTTTAAATTTTATAATATTACTTTTAAAAAAATTCATTTAAGTCCTGCATATTGCGCGAGTCTTTACCTAGTATAAGAGTATTGTCAGTAGTTACTACCTATTTCCCAAATTATAAGTTATTTTAGAATTTCAATACAACATTAATGATTTTTTTTTCTAATATACATTTTATTATTTATTTATCTCTCTTCTTATTTTTTTAATATGCTTTTCAATAAAATTAATGAAGGACAGTTTTGTAAAGTCATAAATCATTTCAATTTTTCATAAAGCAATTGTTCTGGACTGGACCGACACTTGACCCACAGTCGAGCAGGTCCAACCCCACATCGGGTTGGAAGGCCCAATAAAACCTAAACCGTCTCCCCGTCAAGCAGAGCCCTTTATCCCGTCGGGCAGAACCCTTTCTCCTATAGGGCACGAACCTCTTGGTAGTCGAGCAGGCACCTCACATATGCCAGGCACACTCTTCCTGCTGTCCAAACATCGAGCAGACTCTATCCAGCTCGAAGGGCTCCTCTGACCTTCCCCACATTCTCAACGTGTCCCTTACGCGGAGACACGTCATCAGGTAACTTCCCCTGCCCTGATTATTCGGTCATCCACTTCCCGGATAGCACGGAGCAGTTACACTAGGGCGAAGACCACGTGCTGGTCTTCCTGACGCCACGCCAGCCCTAGCAGTTACCAACATTAGGCCTGACAACTCAGTCCAACGCAAAGTAACTGTTGGCCCTGCGCTGAGGGCACACTATAAATACCCTCTTTCAATAGAGGGTCAGGTAATCTCATTCTTACTTCTGTTTCTGTACTTGTTATCACTCTGCCCGACTCTTACTTTGGCATCAGAGTGTGTTTCAGGTACACCCCCTCCATTCTCCCCAACAGTCAGACAACTCAGATGTGCGGCCGACCAATGAATCCTTCTGATCAGGTGAGATCAGTGGCGCCGTCTGTGGGAAACTAAAGTTTCCCCGTTCTTCCGAGCAATAGAACTAAAGCTTTCATCAACTTCTGTGATCATGGCCAGCCCACACCACGACGATGTTGTCCACGACTCCACCTTCGACCCGCTCATTAATGGTGACGATCATGGTGTGCCCGTCAACGACCATGACGGCGACATTATGGACGGGTGGACAATCTCTCCTTCATCTGACAACGTGACCTTTAATGTCTCCCCCCGAGCAAGGAGCCCATCTGCCTTCTAGCCCGTCCCCACACCAGCAGGTGCGGATCCGACGATGACGACCCTCTTCGCGGCCATCAACTAGACCAACTTGATGCTGTTCCAGCAGAACGAGCGTATCGAGATGCTAGAACAGGATCGTCCATCTCGCTCTCCTCCGCGGAGACACCGCTGTCCTACCCAGAACCTTTCTCTAGTATTGCATGAGACACGACCGACATCTCCCCCATGGAGATCCCAGCGCGAGGATTCTCGGACCCCTTCTCCCCGTCAACAGGGGCGCCGGCCACAATTGGAGAGGCCCTAAATCGTGGTCTCCAAGAACCACGAGAGATCACCTCCTTAGAAGGAGAGGCGCTCCCCGGCCCCGAGAAAGAGCAGACCTGACGGCCCGAGCAAGAGGACAAAGGGTCACAGTCAGTCCACTTGACGCAATCCTTTTCCCTCGCGCTCCCCTATCGAAGTGACGAGGACAATCATCGGACTCCCTTTTCATGGGACATCATGGATACTCCCATCCCCCACGAGATGGAGAAGCCTCCTGCCCTATCCACCTATGATGGCACGACGGACCTAGACGGCCATTTGAAAGACATCGAAGCCATGCTCGACTACCAGAACGTCTGAGGAGCCATCAAATGCAGGCTCTTCCCAGCAACTCTGAGAAAGAGAGCCATGATATGGTACAAGAGCCTGAAGCCTGAATCCATCATCTCGTGGAGGATGCTGAAAGATCTTTTCTCACAACACTTCACGATATCCCGGAGCCATCCGAAGACGGAAGTAACCCTGGGCGCGACCATCCAAGCCAGGGACGAGTCTCTTAAGAATTATGTCGAGAGGTTCACCACAGAGGCAGTCCAGGTAACTACTTCCGAAGATATGAAGTGATACCTCATAGATCAAGGGTCGTGCCGCGGCTCCAAGTTCGCTGAGGACGTG